AAATCACATGTACTGTAAGCCGGCAAAATAATCCGGCTATCATTTTTTCTAGAGTTGTTAAAATTTGATGGATAAATCACGCGGGCCAATCAAACTTTCGCGGACGGATCCCATTTAAACACTTCGTGATTTCATCACTCCGTTCCTGGCAATGCTTTTAATAAAAACTCAAATATAATTGAATCAGATTTGTCAGATATCAAATAAAGACTTGAGTTCTTTGTATGTAATTTGTATTGGCACTAAATACCTCACAACCATATCAACAAAAAATTGTTTTATTTAATTGGGTGATAAAATCAATTCCTGAGAACGGTTTAAAGTTTAAAGAACCTTTTTTCAAGATTATTTAATAATTTAATGAATGAAAGTAAATAATAAAATACCAGCCTTCTTTTTACTATGTAGTATCCTATTTCTAAAATTACTTTATAACAACACCAGACAAGGGGTTGTCATATATCATTGCAATATTATACTATTTTAACACAATAGCATTATTGTATTTTGACATAGTGGCATTACAGTTATGGCACTACCGCATTATGATTACGGCATTACGGCTCAAAGAAATTACAGCAAATAATACGGCACATGCCGTAACCATATTAATTTGCCAAATGAATTCTACCGCCAACTATAACTCGTAGGGGTCGAAGCTTTTATTATATACTGTTTTATTACATATGCCATTCTAAATTTATTAAAAATATCATACATGATGAACCTCTTTAATTTCCTATATTACTTAAAGTCCTTAGTTATTATATAACCCGTTAATTATTTATTTCTCTTATTACCCTTATTACCCTTCTACCTACTATTAGCCAAAAACAACTTTTACGATCTTTAATTCTGGGAAACCCATTTTAGGTAGATAATCGACATAGCCATATCAATCATCCTCTACGTGTTTCTGAGATCATGTTTTCACAGCTCACACTAGAGATGTGATCTATTATTCTATTTAAAATATCTGAATATCTGAATATCTGAATTCTTTATAATAACTTTGTTATAAAATCGAACTAGCAGATATCCAGATCACAACTCTATATATTTTGCCTTATGTTTGTGATTAAACTAAGTTGTGACACCTTACTATGTGTATGCATTTATTATTTAGTTATAGAGCAACACATAATTCGTGATCTGCCTGAGAACCAATGAAAAAGTAAGCTGTCAGATACAAGACCTTTAGTAAAGATTCCATATCCTCACAGTTTACTATGTTTTTTTACTTGTCCCACGTGGATTACAAATTAAATATTGATCTTTTTCATCAAAAATATTGTAAATATTATTGGTTTTTATCCAAGAAATAATTGCTATAAAAAGAGATGTTACATATATAAAATTGACATAAATAATAAATATCAATATAAATAATTTTTTTATATAAAATATATATGCTCCGAAAAAGAAACCAATATGATATAAATTTTGTGTATAAAATTATAAAAAATTGTTAGTCTCTCCTTTTTTTCTTTTTTTTTAATAATTTAATAACTTAAATAGATCAAGATTTCAATATGAGCGATAAAGAAACTAGAATTGGTATATTCTTCTGTTTTACCTGCTGTATTGGATTGACCACTATTATCTATCTAATTATCTCTCAAGTATTTATTATAAAAGCCTTTATAAATATTGAAAATGTATTCAAAGCAGGAATTGACGATTTTATCCTAAATGAATTAAATATATTTATTCATATAGCAATTTATTTTCTCTATTTTGTTTCTTTATGTGGTGGTCTATTATTTTATTTTCTTCTAATATTACTTTTACCTCTTTTAAACAAATCGTTACCAAAAACTTATGAACAATGGTTTCAACCAGTTGAAATTCTGTTCAACTGTGCAGCTTTGGTTTTTTCTTCCTATAGTTATAAGACACAAATATTTGATGAAAAGTATCATTTATCTTCCTCTTTATTCTTTCAAGGAATGATTATATGTTCAATAGGAAACATATTTTCAGGCATTTTCATGCAAGTTTTATGGCGATTTTGTAGAGTTGAACTTGAATATTTGATGCAAATAGCGGAAGAAGGTACAATGATCTATAATATTTCAAACAAGTCAATTAGAAGTCAAGCAAATATTTCAGTTGAGAATTTGATGCGATGCTGTAGATATAATGTTATATTAGAATTATGTTGTTTGGTCTTTTTAATTATTTCATTGATACTAAATATACAATCTATGAATGGTGCTGATGGAATTAATTCTCAGAGTTTATTAAAGAGTATTATTAACTGTAATATATTTATTATTCTAAGGCATATAATTTCATTGATAGTTATAAGTAATACATTTTATGGTATATCGGCGGGTATTAATTTTTATGGTTGATAATATAATAGCATAAGATCCTTTATCTTTATTTTATTATTGAATTTATTTATTTTTAGGATTTAAATATTATATTTTTGTCATCTAAATTAAAACTATACATTTATAATTTTTCCCTTAAATAATTATCTTTTATAATAATTTACAAGCTTTGTAGTTTTAACTAATTATTGATTTAGCTACATATTGTATTCTTTATGAAACATACAATAAACCTATTGTTTTAACTACAGTCAACTACCGATATAACGAGCACCCTTAGATCAGATTCATTGGTTAAACGGACAAATTGCAAAGAACCAAATTTTTATTAAATAAAATTATTTATAATGTTATAACGGGTTAATACAGTAATAATAGAAAAGTCATATAACGGAGAATTTTTTTTCTGCCCAGGTTTCTGTTATAAAAGATAGTTAAGTATACATACTGATATTTTAAAAGATATCCTAATGATCATATAATCAAAAGAATAAAAAATCAAATAGAATGTACGCATTATTATGATGGAATATAATAAAATTTGCTACTGTAATTTCACATAATAACACTCATAAATAACGCTCATGTTCGTTATTTTGAATAATGGCCAGAATTAAACTTAATCTATTAGCGTTAGATAAATTTTCTTGGCTTCTGTTGACTCAATTTTTTGTTTGATCTTTCAAAGCAGAAATTTCAGAAATAATTTGATAGTAACGAAAATGTATATAAAGGCATTAACACCTTGTATAAAGTAAGACACGACAGAGTTAGAGTTCTTGACAAGTAAAAACTGTATTAACGTAGGAATTAGAAACTAAATCCCGCGAATTTGTACTACCATACTTGCTCGGACCAAATCTTTCCATTATTGGAGTTGTATTAGGATAGCTTGAATAGCTTTAGGCACATATTTAATGTGTGAAAATTCTTTATGTTAGGGTTAGGGTTAGGAATTAGAAGGAAGTAGTTTATACATTAAAATTGGCTAACGAAAATTTTTTGTTAGAGCAATAAAGGTGGTTTCTTATGAAGATTTTTGAGAAATAAGTAATTTTTGACAAATGAATGTTTTAAATTTTCTTGATCATGTTACGTTCAACCTGATCTTGAAATCTGATTCGTAGTTAAGGAAATCTAAGCCACAGACTTGGCACACATTCAAGACGTGCTAGTTTTAGTTAGTATTATTATAGTGTTGTAGCATATTTTTTTAGTACAGAGAATTTTACACTTCTACAATGTACAAGTTTGTGAAAATCTTAACGTTAATTTTGATTTCAGGATTGTCACCGTAAAAATCATGATTTTAGTTACTTCTAAATTCTTTTTGGTACTGTCTTGGGGTTTTTTTTTATATTTTTATTAAACATCAAATAAATAAATAAATTTTCTGCAGAATTTTCATGAGGTCACAAATAATAAAAGATAATTAAATTCTTTACGACAATACGATTTTTGTATTATATCCACAACTTTACTAAACCATACACCAATTTACGTTGGTTTTTCGTTAGTGAAATGTTACATTCTCAAAAGTAATTAAAAGTGGATAAATAAGTTACACGGACAATTGATTTATATGGAATTGTTTGCTATGCTGATTTTCAGTATACTGTATCTGCAATATTTCCGGAGTGTTATTTCCATGATAAAATAAGTAACGTAAACAAATACTGTATGTACTTATTTATACGACCACCTTTATTATTAATTAATCTTTAACGCATATGTTGCATATGTTGGCTATCTTGAACATAAATGAAAGATTTTCACTTTGTGAAATGAGAATATTCCGACTTTCCGATTTCGATTCTCTTTTTCGAAAGTAGACCTAGTCACAGCAGAAACTGTCACAGTAAGATAAAAATTGATTTACAGAGATTGGTAAACACATTATCATAACGTTTTACTAATCTACCTCTTATTTTAAGATTCGCGATTATAACTCCGAAATATGTATATTATTTTTGTTAACTCTGAAATATGTATGCTATTTTCGTCAACTCCGAAACCTCTATTATTCTTTGAAATCTGCTCATCAAAGATATTCGTCCATTCATGACTTCTGGACTTGGTGTGACTAATTATTCATCGTGTTACTTTTGTATTACTTCAATTTACTGCATGATGCAAAGTTCCATTTTTGGAAATCGATATGAATCGAACTTCGATTTTAAAATTTTTATACAATGAATACAAATCTAAAAACGGTCATTACATAAATAAAAAAAAAAGACTTGAATAAAATTTAATAACGATTAAAAATTTTTTTAATTCAAGGTATAAAAGAAAAATAAAGTATACAAGTTTATTATTTATATTGAATATTTTAATATTATTGGTTCCAAACTTTATTTATTATTTCGATCAAAATTATGAAACTGAAACATGGTTGTGTGTTTAGCGTGTGAGCATTGTGATCATTGACATTTTCTTTAGAAATAATCGGAATAAATATTGTGAAATATAGAGTGTATTTTAAACACATTTGTTTTAAAAAATAAATTGAATTGCGTTGCTTAATTTCTTTAACATAATCCGTGCAAAAGAAAACCAATCCGGGTTGCATAACAAACATTCTTAATATTAATTCAGACATTAAGCGGGTTAATAGCATCTATATCACTAAAGATTAATACTGTAAATCCTATTAAAAGGATGTCTAATCGTGTTCAGGAAACCTACGAAACCCAAATCGGCCGTGCTGTAAAGGCAAGTAACGAACTTGTAAATAATTTTCACCGTGATGGAGTAGATCGTGGATGCATTGCAACATTTAACAATACGATGATAATAAGACAGGTAAAAGACATTTTTTCCTATAACATATCAGTGTGCCTTATATAAATTTCTTTGCGCATCCTTTTATATTATTCAAAGAACTTCACTGAAAATGAAGAATTGATTCATCGTTCCCTTGATGGGTTAGTAGATGTTGCAGACGGTGGCACTCGACTTTATGACAGTATGGTTGACGTCATAAGGACATTCCACCGTAATGGTAACCGTACGCGTCCTTGGGTTTTGGTTGTAGTTACTGATGGAGATGATAATGACAGTATTTTGAGTTATGACCGATGCATTGAAGAAGTATCACGTTTATTTACTAATGAAACCAGTAACTTTCTATTTGTCCTCGGAGTTGGTGATAACGTAAACTCCCAGAGAATGGAAGAGGTTTGCAGTTTTTTTTTTTTTATAAATAGTGTTATTTTACTTCCTTTAAAATCGACCAATTATTTTTTATTTAAAATGAATTATTATTTTCTAAACTAAATTTTTCAAATAAAATCAGATGGCAGAAATTGGTAACTTTATCTACATCCCTGTAAAAGATTTTTACGTTCTCGAATTTGCATTCTTGATGATAGCATACAAAGTTACCACTTCCAAATCACTCTCTCTTATGAACTTGTCTATCGGTGACATTTCTACATCATGGGCTGAAATTCGAAATCACAGAGAGCTCAGTAATGTAGCAATTGATTATGCACTTTTGATCGATGTATCTGGATCTATGAATGTTAATATACTTCCACCACTTCCTAAATGTTTTGCGGGTCATGATTTAAAGGAGAAATTTCATATTGGAAATTGGTGGTGTGATGTATGTGGGGAAGATGGTCAGGCATCGGTATGCTTTTACTGTATATAGTATTTTATACATTTATATTATTTATATTATTTATATTATTTATATTCGATTAACCTACCCTCTTTAAAAACTAACTCTTTGTTAACCTGAAATAGACATCAAAATATTATTGTAACTATTGCGATTTTGATGCCTGTCCCAGCCATTGTGAGCCTGGTCGTGAATGCAAACCTAGAAGCCGCTGTCGAAATAAACATCCTCTTCGTTACACTCAACTATCTACAGTAAGAGGGTGGATATGCAATGAATGTAATAAGATTGGTACTGGAAGACATTTACGATGTCATCAATGTAATTATGACATGTGTTCAGATTGCTACTTTTTAGAGCTAATGATAAACATGAGTCTCTTAAGCAGTAATAATTAATTACAATGTATATTTCGAAAGTAACATAATTTATTAATGATTCAAAGCTGTCCTTTTTCATTAATCATTTATCGTTCTTTCTTATTTTCTTCATTTCCAAATTCTTATGTCATTATAAATATTGTCATCATTATATTTATTTTTGCCACGGTTAAATCATTTTTTTTTTACATTATTTATTTCGTGTCCAGAATAAATCTGTAGCGGCATGTTCAGCTGAAAAGCCGAATAATAAATCATCAATAAAATATAACACATTATGGTATGATTTTTTAAAAATTTGTAATTTTACATATTATATAAAGGAACTTGAGTTAACCATCTTGCAATCGTCCTAAACCAATCCGTTACACCGAATTTGAGTGCAACAACAAAAAATCCAAACTAATTTGTTTATTAGTACAGTATGCGTCGTGCAAATGCAATGGCTAAGCGAAATATAATCTTCTGCATAAAATTAGTGTAATTTTTTTTTTATTCCAATATTTCAAAATTTATACAAAATGATATTCATATAAATGTTGTGCCTCTGACGCACCTCAGATATCAATCACTAGATGAGGTGCCTCAGATGATCTGAGATGCGTCAATCGTAACCTAACGCACTTGAATTTAACTATCAATTGTCGTCACGTTTAATTATAGCTGTATATGACCAAGCTTAAATATCAATGTATATGATGTCTTGTCATGCTTAACTATCGCTATGTATATGACGACATTTTGAGTAATTAATAAAGTTTATTTGAAGCATATTAATGTACTAATATTTTTCGTTGTAATTCTGGAATCCAAATATATGACGACATTTTGAGTAATTAATAAAGTTTATTTGAAGCATATAAAAGTACTAATATTTTTCGTTATAATTTTGAAATCCAACAACTTGCTCGCATTCAAAAGTAATTACCTATGTCTTTTAACAAATGTATCAAATAATACTTCGTTACATTTACCTTTAAGTTCACAGCTTTTATCATCATGGAATTTGAATTTATTGATCGAAGTACTTTTTATGAAATCATTGATCAATATGTAATGGGTCTTCTGAAAAGCAAACAATCCAAAGCATTAATAAACCTTGATCTTTTAAATCAAATCAAATTAATTCTTATAAATTCTTCTAATACTAACATTGGTGATAAAAACATCCATGACTAGGCAAAGAAACAATTTCATCTTAAAGAAGTAACTTCAGGTGATTTTCAAGTAATAAAAAGAAAAATAATACTCCAATCTTAATTATTGAAAATATGTATGTAGTACTTTGTAAGACTTATTTTGAAATTGATCAATATGGTGGGCAGAAGCAATTATGAAAATCAATCCAGGAAATTGGAGGTGAATAAAACAAGAAATTGTTGAAAAGTTTGTTAACAATTGTACTATATGTGCTGTAAGAAAGTTATTATTCTATTCATTAGTAGTGATGCTTATTATTGCTAAAAATTTTCTGTCTTAAATGCAAGTAGGTTAATAAATTTTTTTTTTATATTAAAATATTACAAAATTTAATACTATTTATTATTATAAGATGGATTTAATTGACTTATAATTTAATGCTAATGGTGATTACAAATATGTATATTATTTCAGAGATCATTTCAGTCACTTTTCTTGAGTTAAACTACTTACATTCAAAAGAGTTGTAGAAGTTGTAGTTTATTTATTCAATCTTTTTCATTCTTTGGATTCACCTCCATTTATATTACAGAATAATAATAGTAAAGAATTCAGTGTTTCAGTAATTATGAAACTTATAAAAATGTGATCTTCTATTAAAATAATTAATGAAAGATCATGTCACTCATAATCATAAGGTTTAGTCAAACATGTCAATGGAATTCTTCAATAAAGATTAGATAAATAGAAAGAAGATATAAGATGAAGTGATTAATCATTTAGACTTTGATTTATTATATCATCAATGAATAATAGTTATTGTTGTTCTTATAATAAGATTCCATATTAATTGGTATATATTAATAAATTTTGCAGAAATTATACACTAATTAATAATTATTTTTAAAAAATATTTGTGATAAAGAGGACATATCTGATATAATTAAAATAGAAAATTCTGATTATATTGAAAGTTTAGATAATAATCTTGAAAATAAATATTCTTGATCTCAAATATAATTATATGCATTTATTAAGTTTATTATATTAATAATAAATATATTAATTATTTAGTAACAGATATTGATGATATTGAAGACAATAATACTTCAAATATATTTAAAAATATTACTATACAACTTGCAGATATTACTAATAATATTAGTAGACATGAAATTCTTCATCAAGCTGCTCATCAAAACCTTGAAATATATACTAAAAAAATGTTTTATCAAATGTCTAAAGGTAAGAAAAAACCAAAAGAATATGAAATTAATGATTTAGTAAGAGTAGTCATTCTTAAGATTAACAGATTTAGTATTGATCAACCAACTCTACTATGCAAAATACTTAATAAACTGAAGATAGCAAATATCAATTAAGATTAAAATTTGGAATTATTAAGGTTTTTTATTTTACTAATAAGACTGAATCTTTGAGCACCACTAATTTTTCTGAACTTAATATTATATTATCTAATAAAATATCAATCAAGGAAGCCACATAACTTCAAAGTATAAGCCCATCATATGTAATTTGTAGTTGTAAAAATGATTGTAATAGTAATAGATGTTGTTATAAAAAAAGTGATGGCAAATGTAGCAGTAGATGTTATGACAAATGTTCATATTAGAATAAGAAGTAAATAAATAGCTTATGTAATTTGCCAATATAAAAATATAAAATATGAAATGTGTATTTTGTTTCAAATAAAATAAATAAAATACTAAAAAAAAATTCAATGCATTAGGTTACAACTAATGCAACTTAAATCATCTGATGCACATTGTCTAGTAATTAATATCTGAGATATGTCAGCTATTATCTGATATGAGCATTGATCTGAAACACAACATAATATTAATTTTATAAGTTAAGAACTGAATAACTCTATAAACATAATATTTATTATAGCCAGAAAAAGTATTATAATTACAGTTTTTTCTAAGTATTTGAAATATTTCATTACCTTTTAAAATTTTAATTTATATAATAGCACAAGTTTTTATTGATACTAATAAGCCATTTGTTACAATTTGTTTTCTTTAATGATTTTTTGTTACTGCATCCTGGATTTAAATAAATAATTAGAATTATAATCTTCAGGAAGAGTATTAAAAATAAAATCTACAAAATTTTCTGTTTCAATTACATTTTCTTAATTAGTTTTTATAATTTTATTTCAATTTTCTTTCTTTTTTCATTTATTGTTAATAGAAATTTAATTATGGCAATTAATATATATTTTTAGAATAGTGTGATCATTGGAGTTTATGCTTTTAATAATTGCTTTTCATTTTAAAGAATCAAAGAAAAAATTATTAAATTAATTATATTAACATTAATATTTTAATAAATATTATTATTATAATCTAATTATGATGAATCAATAATATCACATGATTTTTACTTCAGTCATTCTTATCATTATATTTATTAGATTGTGCAATCTGCTGATATGCACTTTCTGATGACATAAGCAAAATGGAGAATCAGTTATTTTGCAAACAGATATGTTATATAACCTATGAACAGCTTAGTTAATAAAAGTTGTTAGATTTGGAGAGTGGTGTATTTATGATCATAGGTTTTATAATATAGTGAAAGAAGATAATTATTTAGAAACAAATTTTATAATAAGCATAAACTGAACTGTTCTTATAAAGTTCGAAGCCTTTATTATATATATTTTTTTTTTTTTTTTTAGTTAAAGTCCCTATCTTGGGAGATGCGATGTTTTTATTCAAGGATATTAGAACACAGCATGCTACCAGAGGCTCACCTTACATTGGAGTTTACAACTAGCCACATGTGTACTTTTGGTGCCTAATTTAAGTAGTTTGCTTACACATTACTATATAAGTTCTATACTAGTTGGCATACCTGCAAGCCAACTAGGAGTCTTGCCTATTTAAACCCTCTGCATATGCAGTCCTCCTTGTATCATAAGAACATTTCAAGGCACTGCCTATCCAAGTTCCTGATGCTTATCAGTATTCTTAGAACTACTTTATCCTTAATAGGAAACTTACTAAAGCCTTTATGTTCTACACATATAGACCTAGTTTTATGCAATACACTATAGTTACCTAACACTTGCAGTCACAGAGATTATCTGGTTAATTGCTACATTATACTATTTCTACCTTTGTAAAGTTCACTAGAACCCCAATACTTATCTTTTTGGCATCTTCTCTATCATTCCCTACTAGCCACAACTCAGAACTGTCAGTTTCATTCCAGACTACCAATCCAGATAGCTTAGTATAATATACTTCTGTATCCTTTTCCTTTGGCAAGCCTGGCAGCCTGGTTGGTTATGTGCTTCTCTACATATATTTGTTGTCTGGTTTTAATCTTCAGTTTCTATAAAGGTGTTTTATGGTCTTCAACCAGTCTGATTGTACCATCGAAAGTTCATGCTACCTCTTTAATCGGAAATTTTCAAGTGGGTTTTTGTCATCTCAGTTTCTTAGTCTTTTATGCCTGATGGTCTTATTGTGGGTTTGAACTAAAATCTTATGCAACACTAGTTAACATTCCTCTATGTATATATAACATTACATTTTGCATAGATGCCTAAGCTCCCAAAGTTGGGAGGACCCAACCTGGTGTACCTAGGTAACAGCCACATGAGGCCAACTGATTGACAAGAGACAGTTATCATAACACAGATATAATTTTCAAATTTCATCATAGATGGGATTTGAACCTTAGATCTGCCACTTGGAGGATGACAACCCAACTACTACACTAGGATTGCCATCCACTTATTATATTTTGTTCTATCACATATGTAGTATTAAACATATTAAACCTATTAACATATTACTTGCAATCTTCTTTATTACTTAAAACTCATATTTCTTATATAACTC